TTACAAGGTGCTTTCCAGTGAAACATAAAAATTAATAAAAATACATAAAACCAGATAAAACACATCTGCACAATAAAATAACAAAAATGCATAGTCAAAACAAATACACCAATCAATAAAATTGTCAAAGGCCCGTGAATACAAATGCGTTTTGAGAAGTGATCTAAAAACAGTCAGGTTTGGAGCAGATCTAATCTCCCGTGGCAGACCATTCCACAGTATAGGCGCCCAGCTCGGTCTCCCCCAATGTTTCCATCTGGACTTCGGTACTTCCAGGAACAACTGGTTCGAAGACCTAAGTGTCCTTTCTGGAGTATAAAAATGCACAAGCTCAGAAATATATGAAGGTGCTAGACCATGTACAGCCTTATAGATGAACATCAACTATTTAAAATCAATCCTAAAACGAACAGGAAGCCAATGTAGTGAGGCAAGAACTGGAGTGATATGCTCATGACGCCGTGTATTAGTTAAAAGATGAGCTGCTGCATTTTGGACCAACTGGAGCTGGGACAGTAAGGCTTGAGAAATGCCAGTATACAGTGCATTACAATAATCTAATGCTAATAAAGGCATTAATTGCCTTTTCAAAATTACTAAAAGAAAGAAAGTGTTTAACCTTAACCATAAGTTTCAATTGAAAGAAGCTGGCTTTAACCACAGATATTATTTGTTCGTCCAGCTTAAGAGCACCATCAAATAGCACCCCAAGATTTTTCAAATGAGGCCTCAGGTAGGAGGCCAAAAAAAAAGCAATTGCATGTATTAACAGCCACCATAAGGTATGTAACTTGTCAAAACTGTAGCACCGAGTCCCTCCAAAATCCACAGGAGGAACGGATCAAGAGTAATATACACAGGCTAACATGTTAACAAGCACCAAGTCCACTGAGTCTACAGAGTGGTACATGAACAAATCTGTTGAGCCTTGAAGCTCCCAGTCATTCTCTTCAGTATTCTTTTGTGTGCAGACTGGAGGTCACATGTACAGGAAGTGTGGAGAGCAGCGGGTCTGCAGCAGCAGAGTTGGGTCCAGTACGTGGGCTTGTACAGGTTTGTATTAGTGAATGATCTCAGCAGTGAGCACATACTACAGATACAGTAAACCCCAAGGGGAACACGTGTGTCAGTCACCTGCACTGCTTAAAGCTAAACCTTGTCCCACAGTACTCAGTGAGTGTGTAACAGTGCTTAAGGTTGCACAGTTTTCATTTCTATGGCTGGCAGTTACTTTGTGGCATACAAAAGGAGAGAGGGTAAAAGCTTTTGTCAATGTCAGTGGACATATGGCTATTTCTTTAGGCAACACAGTGCAGTTGACACCTGTCAAACTCACAAAAATACCAGGAGAAACTACTGACAGGTTCATTTTGAGTCAATACTATTATTGACATCGCAGGTGCATTCACTTTCAGTCTTACTGCCAAATGAAATGGTTTAGATAATATGAATAAACCTTGGCTCGCCTAAGGGCTCAGCAACCTCTGTCTATATTCACAACATTAATGTGTGCACATACTCACACTCTCTTCGTTGCAGGAGTTGTTGTTTCTCTCCTGCACCATAGTGGGAGGTGCTGACAATCTACTACACACTGGACAGGCTGGTCCTGAAATTGATGCAAGCAAGAAAAAGCACATATGACATCTCTGACAGTGTGTATGCACACGATGTGTGTGTGTGCTGATGGTTTTTGTCTGCTGCTGGCTGAGCTGGCAGGCCTGTGGGAAAGGATTAGACTTTCACGCCTTTTCCTCCACACTGAAGCACCATCAAAGACATTCTTTGAATAACAAATCAATGAGTACTGTCACATACACACAGACACACACAGAAGCACACACAAATACTTCTGTTAATCATTAGCCAAACAATAACTAAGGATTCAGACAGAACTTGGTGGTTCTCTCCTTAAAGAGAAGGAGACAGGAGGGAATTAGCAGAATTTACATTGTAGTGCATTTAAGAAACACAAGCAAACAAAACTAGGAAATCATCTGCAATTATAGCACATTAGGTGTTTAACATAATGATCATGTAGAATACAACTATATAAAATTAGCAGGCAGTAAAAATAGTATGAGTCATCACAAATTGAGGTTTGTTCACTTTGGAATTTGTTTGTTATTTCTCAAATTTTTAATGTGTAATACTTGAGTAAACTCAAGGTATGTGGAGATACTGACTACTGATCTGAAACGTGAAAACTCTGCACGGAACTGGTGGGGATCACTCTGTGCATAAGGTAACGTGAGACATTAACTACGCTTGCATAACTTCAAACCTGTGAGAATTAATAAAATGTGACATCAGTTTGCATTTTGTCAATCACATTTATTCACCAAGTAACAAATACAAGGAATTGTGTGTGCTCCAGTCTCAACAGAGAGCACAACATAAACAAAAACATAAAGATTTACAATAGTAATAATAATAATGCATCCACTAGCTATACTGCTTATCCCTGAATCAGGTCACGAGGGGCTGGAGCCAATCCCAGGTGACACTGGGTGAGGGGCAGGGTCCACCCATCACAGGGCTGACATGTAGACAAACAACCACAACCTCATATTGGCAATTTAGAGTCACCAGTCAACCTAAACTGCATGTGTTTGTACTGTGGGAGGAAGTCAGAGTACCCGGAGAGAACCCACGGAGGCACAGGGAGAACATGTAGACTCCACACAGAAAGGCCCAGGCTCGAACCCAGAACGCATTATGACATTACACATATATTGTCACATCAGAAACGGCATCCTTCACACACTAAGACATGCAGTCACACACAGACGTTGGCAAGTTCTTGTTCTTTCTGAAATCAGTGATTATCCCCACAGTATTTTGTGTGTTCAGCTCCACAGTTATGTTATCCACATCATGACAGCAAGCCATCAATTCTCTTCTTTCTAGATGCACTCATCATCATGAGGGATGATCATCATCAGCAAACTTAAAAAGTTTGACAGTCACTCAGGGAGGTGCAGTCGTTCTGACCCTCCATGCAATATTTCAGAACAACCTCCTGTCTGAAAAGTGCAGAAAATGTCTAAATCTATAGTGTTAGGAACAGCTTATCAATGGTACATCAGAGCTCACTCTTACTGTTTCACATTAACAGTCAAGCATTCAGATCAGGTGATGAGACGGAGTACAAAGCTACGAAGTAGAGACTGAGGAAAGCCATCACAGCGGCCAAGAGGCAGTACAGAGAGAAGCTGAATGGCTTCTATTCTACTGCTGACTCTGGACGGATGTGGCAAGGCCTGCAGCACATCAGACTACAGGACCACCACCAGCATCATCAGCTCCACAGACAGCCTGCCGGATGACCTCAACACCTTCTACACCCGCTTTGAGACCTCCAGCCACAGCACAAAGAGGAGGCACACACACACCACCCAACCCCCCAACTCCCCTCCACTAACTATCTCACCAGGCCAGGTACGTACAGTCCTGAGTAAGATCAACCCCCGCAAAGCGGCAGGACTGGACAACATCCCTGGGAGGGCTCTCAGAGCATGTGCCAGCGAGCTGGCTGATGTTCTCACCACCATCTTCAACCTCTCCCTCAGCCAGAGCATCGTCAGTCAAATGGTCTGGAAAGGTGCAGGTTAAATATTTTTTCAATACTGTTTTAGCTGTAGTCAGATTGAATTACAAAATGCAAATATCTTTCAGAAAGTTCATTTATTCAGAAGGTTTTATATGCTCGTATGCTGCAGTTTTGTTTGTTTTAACTAGGGAGGCATTAAAGTGGTTACTCTGGATTTTTCTTGACCCACATACTGTAGGTCACTTCTTCCTTCCCTCTCATACGAGCTATAGGATCATCTCCTGAAATAGTGCATCTATTACTGTTAAATGAAAACTGCTCATTTAGTGCATTAATGCACAACGACTGACTGTCTATAATTTATAGCCGAGGTGGGAGTGAGTCACAAGCAAGTCTCAACCTTCAAGTCTCAAGCAAGTCCCAAACTACTGTGGTGAGAATTAGACAAGTCGAGTCCCTACTATAAGTCAAGCAAGTCACAAGAACAGATTTGGTGTCACTGGTGAAGTTTAGAGTGAATGTAAACTCAGATATAAATAATTGTTTTTCATCCTATTCTTCTTAGTTCTTATAGTTATTAACTGTAATTGATAGTTGATTTTTATATTGTGACTAGTTTTAAATATATTATGTATATATACTACAGTTAAATACTATAGTAGTGTGCAAAAGTCTTAGGTCACCATTAGATTTGTTGTTTTAGCAATATTATGATGCCTATATATACGTATTTATTTATCACAATACAACTACAAAATATAAGACATATGTAGACAGTACTAAAAAACACTAAAATGTCAGAAGAAAATCAGCAAACAAACTGGAAACTCCAGATGTGGAGTTCAAGCTGTTCTAAAGAAACAAGCTTGTCTCTTGTGGACAAGAACAGTCAGTTTAGCAGATTCCATCTAATTCATGTTTTTATTGTGTAGTTGTCACAAATAAGAATACACTGTTTGTCCCAGTTGCAGATAACTGGCATGAAGTAGACAGGACTGTGGAATGATTTGTAAAAACAAAACAGTCTATGGCTTAAGGAGCATGACACTGAATCTATTTACAAATTCAAATCAACTCATTGACAGTTTGAAATTTGGAGCAAAAAGCTTTTTATCTTTTATAAATATAAAAAGGGAAAGTAAGGAAGGCCGCTATGGGCCTAAAAGGGGGATAAAGTCTCTTTCACCGAGACAGCTTAACACTCAACAGAGTTATACAAATCCCATTTTCTATTATGGCACCAGTATCAAAGCAAGCTGTGGACTCGCTGGTTTCTGTCATGGATGCTTCACTTAGAGCAGGTATGCATTGATCCAACAAGTAGAATAGAATAACAACTAAACAAATAAAAAGACTAAAAATTAGAAATAGATTTTGACTGTCATATGAGGTATTGTGGATCACACATTTCTGTACATTGTCTCTTTCTTTTTTTTTTTTTTTTTTTGAATAGTATGGATCATATTATGCAATTACAAACAAAAACGGATCACACAGAATCTACATAAAAACAACAAATGAGGATGTCAATAGCAATTTTCTATGAGAAAATTCAAACCTAGAATGGCAGTATATTGACATTTATCTGTATAAAAACAACCAAAAATGTAGCAGCAAACAACAGGAGAAAAGCATCAATTTTAATCCATTACATTTATGTCATCTTTTTTCCTTTTTTTTTTTTTAACATGTAGCTGGGATTTATTTTCTATAGCAGCAGAAAACAAGGAGTGTTTCTCTCCTACTCTCTATTCTCATGGTACAATCAGAAACCTAATTTGCAGAGTTCCTACACAGTTTAACAGTCACAGACCTTTTCCAGAATTTGAAGAGAGCACTCCTGCCTGTAGTAATCTGTTCATCTTCATATATAAAGTATATTTCTACCTGCTCATGTCAACTTGCCTGTCCTGTGTAGGAACCCTGACTGGAACTCTACAGCATTAAGACATACCTCGCTGTTGAGCGGTCACCCTTTTTGCCACTTTTTGCCTCCTTTTTATGCCCCTGTACTCTTGCCAGCTTTGCTCTCCACTGTTTTTTAGGCAAGTTAGGCAAGAAACGTAGCCCATGTCTTTTAGGTTTGTGCAAAATCACGTCAATAGTCTAAACACTCCTCTTTTTTAGCTTCATCCCCTTTCCAGAATCCACAAGCAGTATGTGAAGTAAGATGGAGCAATGGAAGGGGATGCCATGCTGGTAATTTAGAGTCAGACTGTTTCACAAATATTTCTGGATAGCAGGGCTACTCTGAAGGCAGAAATATGCTCACTGGTTGAGTTAAACATCAGCAGGTGGAGCCACAGTTTGTTAGCAAACTAGACAATTCAAGCTAAAAAAATAAATAATATGTTTTACTATATAAAAATAAAGTATTATTTTAACAATAAAAATAATGCTTCTTTTTCCTTTTACCTCTGGACCTTTAGTTTTTGGCTCTGCATGCTCAGGTTTAACTAACACAATGATATTTCTTGAGATCTAAAAGTGACTCTGCCTGTATGAGACATTTGTTGAACTAAAAGTTTAATCTGAGACTTGAAAGGCAGTTACAGCAAGCCACTGGCCCTAGGAGACTCATGGCAGTCTCAAGCAGCATTCAGTCTTGTTTTTTTTTCTGCCATACTGCTCAATTTGTGTCCCATTAAAAGAATTACATCCAGGTGCAATTGTATGCATGTGCTGCTCTGACTCTCTGTCACAAGACTCCTGCTTAAACCCCCATTCCATTTTCATGCTGGTTTACAAACTGATTCACTGTGATTTCCTCTTAGATGAGCCAGCAGCGCTGACCAAAAGTGCTTTTTCTTTAGAAAACAAAGTTGGAATGGTATTAGGTATAACTACACAAAGAGAGAAAACATAACAGATTGTGGATTGCTCTGCTTGCATCTGTATCGATTTGATCTTATCAAATTACAGCAAGCTGAAATGGGTCAAGCAAATGTCATCAACACACGAACACCTGTCCAAAACTTACCATAAGCAGTCCACATTCATTAGAGTGAAAATACAGAGCGTCTCACTCTACACTTGGTTTGTAAAACAAAACATTTGGAAGAAAAGAGGTATAAGACTAACTGATAAAGAGGTCTAACATGATATATAATAAAGTGACTAAACATAAGCAAGCAGGGATATATAAATGTCTGCAATGCAACAAGACAAACAGGGGAGCTCGGACATCAAGGCTAAAACATTCTAAATATAACAGAACAGAAGTGAAAACAAAAAAGCCTCTTCTCTTTAATAAATGTCAGACTTCAGGTGAAGACCTGAAGACAGACTACGAGGACCTACTGTACAGACACTTTGGGATGTTTTAGTAGGCAAGTTGAGTCTGTGGAAATTGAAAGATTCCTAGTGTAATATTTGAGGGAATAAGAAAAAAACATTGACTTCAGTTCCAGCCCACACAGGTCATCAACATTCACTGTCTGTTCTCTCTGGTACATTTCTCTGGTGTTTGTTTCTTTTCGCATGGTGGCAGGGAACACTCAGGAAATGTGACCTGGGTTCGTTGCAGGTTGGGGGCACTCTGTCTTGGCATGGCATTCATAGCAGACGGCGTGCATGTGAGTGACATAGCAAACATGATAGCAGCCCTCCATGAAGAAGAAGGAGGAGGAGTGGGAGGCTGAGTTCAGATGAGGCATACCCCCAGCCCGTTGTTGTCACCTTCTATCCACAGCTTTCCCTCAATCACCAGGTCATGGTGAGACACAGCTGTCTGTCATTTCAGATGTTGATGTCTCTGACGTCTGTCGGGGTGCAGGACAGGTCCACGTCCTCGTCCACACGTTTGGATTCTGTTGTGCTGCTGTGCTGCTGAGCCTGCCGCAGGCTGGACTCCAACAGAGACTCTATCTGCTCCTGACAGGACCGTAAGCAGTCCTGCAAGCACAGAATCAACACTGAGTCAGGACCATCACCCTGTTAACATCAGGGACAAACCTTTAAATATGGCTTTAGGAGTGTCTGCATACCGGGTCACTGCGAATGACCTGTGACAGGAAGTTGGTGAGGTTCTGGGAGGACAAGGAGGTATCTTGGCTCTTCAGGTAGAGACCTTGAACAGCTGCCACCACACTGCCTGCCGCCACCATAGACGGAGGACTGGCGATGAAGTTAACATCTGCAAAAATGCAACAAGAACATATTACGACAGAAAATCTACAGCACAGTACAAGGATTATAAAACACTGACTTTACTTTTCTTTAAAGAAATGAACAAAACCATTAATTATGTCCTTCAAGTTCCTAATCCTTCTTTGTCCCTGTATGAGATACTGACAGTTGTCAAATACAAAGTGACTACAGAGCAGACAGAAAACAACACATGACTGATTATCCCCACAGAACGCTCCACATCTGCTCCCCTGAACCTTCAACATTTATTAACTAATAATGAGAACATGGCAGCCATGATTAGAATAACAAAACAAGAAACTCGGTTGAAGAGGGCAAAAAGCAGTAATCCCAAACTGGGGTCTGGGCTGCTTATCTCCAGGAAACTTTAGCCAGTCCTGATGGGAAACCTGATGACTGTGTCAGTTCTACTGGGTACAGAACAAAACTAAATATAGAAAACAGGGTCTGTAAAATACACAGACATTACTGTAAATTAAAACAGGTAGGAGTTTGAAATATAAACGTGTCAGTGCATATATGCTGCATATTTGTTCATGTGTTACCTGTAGCACAGAGAGCCACAAAGGTTTGGGCATGTTTCCTGAGGATCTGCTTGGTGGTTGGGTAGATCTTCAGCTTGGAGAGGAAATGCTCAATGAAGTCATGAGAGGTGACTGAAGCCAGATCCCACTTCAACTTGTTGAGAACCAGCAGTTCCATTTGCTGTGGATGGACCAGACCAGAGACATTCACTCAAACTGACCCACTTACTTCTAGAGAAAAACGTACACCTCCTTACGTCTGCTGTGACATTTAGTTCTTGCAGCTGTAGCACTTTGTCATTTCATCCGTTCATATATTCCAGGAATAAGTTTACTGCTATATTTTTGGATAGAATTCTCAATTATTCACAAATTCTTTGTTTTTCCCCTCAGGGGTCAAAAGACTGCACTGCAATATTTTCCAGATTTCAGCGTACTCAAAAATATGCTATTAAGTCCCTGTGTTACCAGGGTATCTAGGTGCATACAGTAATTAACAGTTCTACTAACTTAAGTCTGATTTTGTTGTTGCTGTTTACCAAGCTACCTAAATGAAATGCAACTTAACTGACCAGATTCTGAGTAAAAGAGCACGATCAGTAAATACATAGTGGAAAAGGGTGCGATTGTACATCACTGTGTTCAGTTTTTCGGTGTCAGTAGCCTGCACCTCCGCCTTGCGACCACCAGGTGTCGTGGTGAATCGCCGTTTTCATGGCGGTCACTGAGACCATTCATGAAATCAGAGGCCTTCCAGTCACCATGGGAAAGTCACATGCAGCCATTCAGAAAGGACTGCATCATTTTTTATTTCATTTATATTTCAGTCAAAAATTGATCTACCTCTGCTTTATACCTCGATATAAGGCAAAACTTTCCGAGCATGGTGACACGGACAAGCCTAAGGAACGCACTGTATTCTGGTCATGCGGTCTCCAGTGTTCGCTGTTCATGCACTGTATGTGTTATGCAACATCCATTTCTGCAGAACTCAATTACCAGCAGTTCTCCAGGCTGAACCGAGTTGTCCGTGTAGATACAAAGTTTCTCCGCCGTTAAGGGGACAGTCTCCTTCATCTTGGATGCTAGAAACATGCATGTAGCTCCCAACAGCTGTAGCCGTGTTTTCCTGGTGGCCTCCACTGATAAAAATCTGTCCAAATAGTTCATAGCCAGCGGAAAAACCTCCTCCTCACATTTCTGTTCCTCGCAGACCTGGGAGGTGAAAAAAGCACTTTCAGATTGATGTTGCATGCTGAAAAAAAAAAGAATTCCCCCATTCATATGCATTGTTAAGTCTTTGCCCCCACTGGCTCTATGTCTTAATACGTGCACAGCTGTGTAAATTCAATAGCTGCGCTGTTCACAATCATCCCAAACGAAATTAACAAAAATTAAACATTGAATGCATTTAATTCGTTTGATTTTTGAGTTTAAACATTCTGCGTGGCACTCCATAAATTGAAAACTCCATTTAACATAAAACCGAAAACACAGGCTATAAGTCAAAAACATTTATTGAAGTAAGCAATACTGTTGCAGTAATAAAAACAGTCGGGAATTAGTTTGCAGTCAGTTCTGACGGAGACACAAAGGTGGCGTCGATGCAAGTTTCACTCTAATTCCAACTTCGTCATCTTTTCAAAAAATATTTATAAATATTTAAAAATTAGCAGGGTGTGTACAATGAACATGTAAATGATCCTTATCGAACGCCTTATCGGACCAGAGTAAAATATGTCGAGTTGTGATTAGCCTGAATTTAAAAGAAATATATATTTCCACGGATGGGCTTTTTCACGTGCTGCAGGCGACACTTTAGCGGCTCTATGGTGCACAATTTCAAAAATTAATTAAAAATATGAAACTACAAAAAATTCAATCCAAAAGTTTATGTAAATGTTAAATTAGATCCAATCTATCAAATCCGACCGTTAAAATTGATTTAATACTTTTGCACTTTTAATAGAATGCCACTTTCTGCTAGCGACCTTCACAGACAGCAGTGACTCCGGTAAAGCAAAACAAACTTTACCAGTTCACACCAGTCCAACGAGCTGTAGCAGTCAATATGTAACCATCTTATGATATAGACGCATTTCTGGCTCATTTCATCGAGTTACTGTCATTGTTGCTGATGCCATAGATTTTTTATGATATTAAAATCCTTCTCATACGACAACAAAGATGGCGCGTAATACTGGCACGGGCCAAACTGCATACGTGTACATTGCTGTTATTTTGGAATATTTTCTCCATGCTATTGCATTTCATAACCTGCTGGAAAACATGGGCTAAGCAATAATCAATAACAAAGGTAATCATGGTGGAAACCGAGTGCGGTCTATAGCCAATATCTCCCCTTAAAGTTCAAGGACCACCCAGCACCTCTGTGGACATAGTTTTCGGAGCGTTTATGTAACATGCACAGTGAAACAACAGACATAAGGCTCAAAACGTTCACATTAAGACTCATTTATGATGTTTTACAGTATAACAAAGAGACGAGCTCGCGGCAATCTGCAAACAAGTTAGTAACGAAACTCGAGCACAGAAGGAAAGTTGAAGTGAGGTAAAACCAACCTCTAACATCCAGGTCGCAACTATTTTCCTCATTTTAGGTACAATTTCTTTCTGAACACACTTGAAGTAGTTTGGTGACGGTAGGTAGCTTTCCTCTGCCTTCAGCATGGTGTGCAGGACTCGGTCGTTGAGCAGGTTGATGTCCTGGTAGGCTCTCCGGATGGAGTCCACCTCGCAGCACAGCAGCTGGTCCTCCATAGTAGGCTACCACAGCTAATAATAATAACTTCTTTTCACCGCCGATATAAACTTTAGTGCCGCCCTGTTCAAATGTTCCTATACTAGAGACTGCGCAGGCTACAGCAGGCAGAAGGCCACAGTCAGCTAAATTTAAATTACTTTCTTCTGGCTGAGCTGCTGCGTGCTGCTGCTTCTCCGGTGTGCGCGAGCCCTCTGAAGAACACAGCGTTTCCCCCTGCGAGACAAAAACCCTTGCCTCGTGCTCGCGCACGGGCAAATGCACACGCACACACAGACAAAGTTTACATGCGAGCGCCCGCTGAAGAGGGGGAGGACTGGGTGGGATGGGTGCGCGCGGTGACGTCAGCTGTTGTTAAGGGGGTGGGGGGGATCAAAGAGACAAGCAGTGTGCTAGGGAGCGCGCTAGGAAGGGATTCTATTATATGCATATACATAAGGAAAGCGCGAGAGACAGGGCAGGACCCCTCCTCCTATAGCCTGGTAGCCTCGGAGGAAGAGGTGGGAGGTCCGGAGCTGATTCTGGAGGACGTCTATCCCCCGCTGTAGTGGCGCTGACTGGGGCAGGCTGGCAGTTCAGCGTCGGTAGGGGGCGATAACAGCTTACACCCCCTCTTCCTTCTTCCTCTGTCTTTCTACAGGTCTGAATAAAAGCAGCAGCTCTCTCAGTGAACATGAGGCGAGCACATGGGACAACAGTGGAGCACAAAACATATACTGCGGCTTTGTTAATCCCCAGTATTCTAAAAACAAAAGGATAGGAGAGGATGAAATTATATTAGGCCTATAGCCTACTACCTTTTAATAAGCACAGTCAACGTGTTATAGGCTACCTATCAATGCATTTTTACCTGTAGAAACTCTATATTGTAGTTTATTACAGCATCAGTTCACTTAGAGAATATGTAAACATGAGTTGTTGACCACTTCATGCGCACATTGCAATGAAATGAACAGCATAAACCTCACCATGTGGCTCACCCACACTCAACCAAATTGGAGTGTGAGAATTAGTGCTTGTTTGAGGACAGATGAGTCAACATCTGTAACTGCAACTGTAATCTGAGGCACTATGACTGTAGGTTTGTAAGATCAGTCATTTGATTATTTTATCATTTAAGCTATGAACATAACAGAAGACTTATATAAGCTATTGACCATAACAAAATCATATCTACTATTTAGCCTTTGGAACTGCTTTGAACATTAGGCTTTCTGTGATAATCCTCACAAAAGTGATTATTCCTTATAACTTAAAACAAACGCACAAAACACAAACACTTCTTTACAATGAAGACATATTGCAGGTCAAATGCTAAAGTTTAAAGACTTTCACTAATCCACACACAAACGGGAGGAGACGAAGTGCACCAATGGCAGGAACTGCTGTTACTAGGCAGATGTCAATGTAACTTTTCATGTGGGGAAGAGTTCAATGCACTGGAAAAGCTGACACTATTGATTACTTTATCAAAGTTCTTTGACACTGTATAGTCTTTCAAATAATCAATACATGCATTTTATTAATTGACAGCACCACTTTTGTGTACATCTCTGTTGCTTAATTCATCCACAGCCAGCAGGGCATTCAGTAAATCTGAAGAGAGGATGAATCAATGAATCCAGCAGAAGTTCTGACATATCCAACTTGATACAAAGTATAGAAGCCAGGCCTTCTGTCAGTAGCCATGTATTTAGTTACTCGTGTTAAAACCAGCATTTAGTGTTAAGTTGTGCACCTTTTAATCTAGTTTCAATATGAATAGGAGCTTTTCACATTCCTGAAATTCCTCCCTGGGCTATTTGGTGGATTACCGTAATGCTTGAAGAGGGTTAAACCTCAATGGACAGAGCCTGAAAACATCAGGAAATAATATCACTGCTCCTCTCTGTTGCTGTGGTCAGGGATAAAAAATAATAACATGATTATGCAATGTAAAGTATGTATGCATTTACATCTATAACTGAGCTGTAAACTTGCTGATCTTTCCAAATGTTTTATCTTCTGTTTACATTCACTTTCTCTTTATGTGTTTTAAAAAATACCTCAACATTTGTGTTATGGTTCATTTAATTATGTGCCATATATATGTATATTTTTGTTTTGACTTCTTCTTTACAACCAAACCATTCATTCCCTAAAATAATTGTATAAAGTAATAAAACTTGAATAAATGTTGCTTATTTCACAATCACAGGGCTTTTTGACTTTTTGACACTTGGTTGCAAACCTTATTTCACCCAAGCATTTTATTTAAGCAAAAGTATATCAAAACAAGCCACTTGGAGAACTTTGTTACATCCTTTTTATATTATTTAGTCATTTTTAACATGTTTACAAATGACAACATATATAACCTGCAGACAGAAAAACTGAAAGCAACAGTTATTCCGGCCCATTTTATTTTCCTCAAACACGACAGTTCTCATTCATAGACTGACTGTGGGAAACAAAGGGAGCTGGAGCATGTGACTTTTGCAGTGATGCTCTTCTAGCAGCTTTATGGTAACAGGGAAGGAAGTGTTTAAAGGGACAGAGAAGAGCTGAAGTGAAACCAGCAGGGCACAGACTGGTTCAGACTACTGATCACACCACCACGGAGCCCACGGCTGGAAAATAAATGATATGTCAAGGTTGCTATTTACCACATCAAGGCCACTGCCTTGCTTTTGGTTTCAGTGACGTGATTTTTTTCTAACTGTGATTTCTATGTGCTTTCATTTTCATTGCTTCTTCAGCCAGATGCCTTAATATAATGCCACTGTTGTTATTTTTCAGGATCGTGATACGAGTTATGAATATCATGCTTGTTAACAAAAGAAAAGATATAAAAATATCACTCTTTGCCATTCCAGTCATATAACATTGTTAAGCCCCTTTTCCACCGCCTGGTACTGGCTCAACTTGACTCACCTTCAGTCAAATTTGGGGAGAGTACCTGGTACTATTTTTGGTGTCACCTCCGCTGAGGTTCTAAATGAGCAGAGGCGATGTGTAAACTGCAGACTAGTGATTGGTCAGAGAAATTGTGTAATCAACATGCGAGATGTCCTGTAACAGAATTGTTAGGTATTTTTAGTCAGATAGATATTGGATAGATACTTTATGTATTAGAAATGTTTAGTGGAGATAGGATGTCTAGTTAGACTGTTAAATGCTTAGTCATGCTTATGAGTTTCTACAGGGTACATCTGGTCAAGGATAACTAGAGAGAAGAGATGATGACTGTCAGCAGACAGGGTGTTTAATATTATTATTATGACATGTATAACTGTAGCCTTAGCCATAATATGTTCTTATGTTTAAGTCACGACATGTACTAGAGGTCGTGAGAATGTTTTTAGCTACACACCACTCAACCAACAGACACACACATTGATTTACTTCATGTTTTGACTACTGCTATGTCCAGCTGCAAAGCTGGCACCAGGGACACGTCACGGTTGACGTTCCTGTGTAGTATGGGGCTAGCCCAACCGAGGGGATATAATGTATAGGCCTGTTGTGGTTCAGGGTCTTTTTCATCCTTCAGCTGCCTGCTGCATGTTGGAGGTGGTAGGTACCTGAGCGTATAATGTTAATTTTTACCTGTGTTCTTTGAATGAATCAGCACTGTATTGAAGCTACTTGGACTGTCTCGTCTCTCAGAGTTAGCATGGTAAAAAGAACCGGAAGACTTCAAGAGAAAGCACCATTTTTAAAAATATATGTCATTTAACGCTAACCACAGCTTTACTGTAGTTACTGTATTAACTAAAGACATCCACATGCCGAGAACATCAAGAACAGCATCCATTTGATGTCCTCCGTTGTTACTGTGCCGGTTGCTGGCAATGTCACACCAGTGTAATGTGGTGTTGCTATGATAACCAGCTACACTGAGAGGAGACTATCTTTAGTGGAAATCCAAGCACCCGGTACCAAAAGCAAGTAGAGTTGAGTCAGTACCAGGCGATGGAAAAGGAGCTATACTGAGCCACAGCTGTGTTTTGAGCTAAATGCTAATCCCAGCATGTGTGACTACTTTAGTAAGCTGATGTTTAGCAAGTAGTGTTACAGTTTGTCACCATCTTAGTTTTGGAGTGGTGATGTTCATTTGCTAATTGTAAATAAGTAAGGTCAGTAAAATAAAGTGATGGGAAAGTCAGGGGATCACCACAGTCATTTCAATTCATCCAGTGTAGAACATGGATATCTGTGCAAAAAATATGTCCAGTATTTATTGAGATATTCTATTATTTTGGACCAAACACTGCCATGCCTAGAACCCCTCACCAGTGCAACTAAAAGCATTTTTTCTTTTTTACTGCAGCTGATTAATGTAATCGGGTGACAGCATTGACATTACAGTTTCAGAAGCAACAGCACTGGTTTAAACTAAGATTGCTTTCCTTATCTGAGTTTATAGCTCTCAACCATAAAGCTGTATTTCACTTTGCACACACTGTAAGCAAGCCAGTACTTAAGTTAATGGTAGATTAATGAGTTAATTCTTTACTTAGCAGGAATTTAAGTTTCCTACAGCATGGCCAGACAATATTGACAATACTTTGACTGCACAGATAGTGGCTCTCCTTTGGGGCTCAAGCTTAGGTCCGTGGACTAGTAAAACACACTTTTCATATTGTCCACATTCATTCATAGACAACAGTGGTTGGCATCATCAAATTCATTCATTTTCTCAGCCTCAAAAATTCATTCATTCCATTTCCCAGTACTTCCTTTCATTCATTCAGTACGCTGACCAATGTGTGTGTGTGTGTGTGTGTGTGTGTGTGTGCTCAGTCATCCACCATGTTATTTGTAACCCCCATTCCCCAGTTTTACTTAATTCTGTGCCCATTCTACACCATGTTCACTGAATGGTTTTGTTATTGTGTATGCATTCAGCTTACTATACAATGTTTTATGCACATACACCCCAAAACACTCATTCATATAAATGTAGCAGACTGTAGCATGCATGTCTGGTATTCCTGCTTGCACTGAAAACAAGGTAACCATTTGCCTGAGATATATTTGTGTGTTTATGTATGCTTTCCTCGGCCGTCCCTGGTAGGCTAGTGGTTAAGGCGCAGTGCTCTCGCCGCTGCAGCCCAGATTCGAATCAGGGTTGTGTCAGGAAGGGCATCCGGTGTAAAACACGTGCCAAATGTCAACATGCGAGTCGTCAGTGTGACGATTCGCTGTGGCGACCCCTAAACGGGAAAAAGCTGAAAGTGACTTTCTTTCTTACTATTTCCTCTACTTTTTGTGTTTAATTATATTTCCAGTTCTGGTGCCTTGTGTCTATTGACTATGCTACCACAGAGAAATATTTTAGAATAATTCAGGCTAGTCTGTTCTGCTTTCAACTAACCACAGGCTTAAACAGCTACAAGCAAAACTCTGTATGTAGGAGAGAATTCGCAGGGGTGTTGAAATGGTGACATTTGTTTTTGTGCTCACTCTATGTCCAGCTTTGACGTTCCTTTGCCTCTTCATATTCTAAATATGACCCCCAAAAGCACACACACACACACACACACACACACACATACACAGAGTAACTGTGTGAGGGCTTCCCTTCCTCCAGCCATCAACCAGAAGCATCAGACAGAGGGGTTTTCCTTATGAATGAAGCTCCATTCTCAGCTGGGGGCAGGTCCACAATGACCCTGCAAAGATGGATAGGGAGATTGTCCTGTGAAGTGATCCGCGAACACACATAGGTGGGGGTCATTCTGTACGTGTGTGTGTGTGTCCTGTACCAGAACTGACCTAAAGCACCTCTGTACTGGCTAGATGGGTGGGTGCTCCAGGGCCATGTAGGGCCAAGGGCAAGGATAAGAGGAAAAACCCCCGACACAATGAGTCAGTGGAGTTGGAGAGGGGGCAGGGTGGGTTGGAATGCATGAACCCAATATCACACACACAAATACAGGGTGTTGCTTTGACAAGTATCTGTGGATGAGGCTTATGCTGCCAGCTAATATTTGACACACAGTAAACTCAGTGAATTACAAACTAGTTGAATATGGCCCCAATATGTGTGTTAGGTATTTTTAGTCAGATAGATATTGGATAGATACTTTATGTATTAGAAATGTTTAGTGGAGATAGGATGTCTAGTTAGACTGTTAAATGCTTAGTCATGCTTATGAGTTTCTACAGGGTACATCTGGTCAAGGATAACTAGAGAGAAGAGTTGATGACTGTCAGCAGACAGGATGTTTAATATTATTATTATGACGTGTAGAACTGTAGCCTTAGCCATAATATGTTCTTATGTTTAAGTCACGACATGTTCTAGAAGTCTGTGAGAATGTTTTTAGCTACACACCACTTAATCAACAGACACACACACACATTGATTTGCTTCATGTTTTGACTACTGCTATGACCAGCTGCAAAGCTGGTAACAGAGACGTCTCAGTTGACGTTTCTGTGTAGTATGGGGCTAGCCCAACCAAAGGGATATAATGTATAGGCCTGGTGGATTCAGGGTCTTTCATCTTACATCTGCCTGCGAGCAGTTTGGAGGTGCAAGATACCTGAGCGTGTAATGTTAATTTTTACCTGTGTTCATGGAATAAATCAGCACTGTTTTGTAGTTACTTGGACTG